TTTTATTCAGCAAGGATGTGTTAAATTGTTACGAACTGATAGCAAAATTTATATTGTTAGAAAAGATTAATATTTTGAATAAATGCTGTTCTTTTTAACTTTTTATTCATCAAAGAATCCTGAAAAAAGTATCGCAGTTTCCAAAAAAATATTTGGCAGCACAACATTGATAATTCTAATAATAAATCTGCATATTAGATTTCTTAAGAATCATGTGACACTTTATACTGGAGTAACGGCTGATGGAAATTCAGCTTTGCATCACAGAAATAAATTATATTTTTAAGGATATTAATATAGAAAACATTATTTTATATTGTAATAACATTTTGCAAGATTACAGTTTTTTTTCTGTATTTTTGATCAAATAAATGCAGCCTTGATGAGCATAAGAGATTTCTTTAAAAAACATTACAAGTCTTACTGATCCCAAACTTTTGACCGGTAGTGTATATAAGTGGACTGATGGGAATAAATATTGATATGCTACAAAAGAAAAGAAAAACGGCCAATTTAAATATAAAGAAGGAGTAGCACTTGCCTTTTCCCATACAATCCTGAAATGCAAACTACAACATACACAATCCAGGCACATATCATTGGCCTTCTATAATTCCAAAGCACTAAACCCCATCCTGAGGCAGTGAGGGAGGTTATCCATCACCGTGAACTCCTGGAGTGCTCTGATGTCTCACAAGGTGACTAAACTGCTTTAGGCCATGAAGTGACTAGAGTGAGACAGTCAGAGGGAAAAATGTAAAAAAATTGCCATCTAAAATCCTCAGGAGGATCCGCTGTGGACCTTGACTTCATTTCTGTGCTCAAATGCACAGCAGGACAAATTTGGCCAATCTCGTAATTACACCTGCTTCCTCCTCTACACAATACTGCCTACGCATGGAGAAATAAGTGTGCCGGGAGAGTGTGTGTGTTTGTAAATACTCCAAGAACAGTACTCAGCTATTCAGAGGAGTGAATATCAAACACTAATATCTTCTTCTCCCTGCGCACTGGCTCTCCTTGGTCCTCCTTCTGAAAATAGGGAGACGCTATGTGGTGGGTAACGAAGAAAAACATCTCAAGTCAGATTCATCTCGGAAAAAAAACAACACTCCTCCCAGGAACCGCGCAGCAAAATTACTCTCACTCCTGAAAACCATTAAGCAAACGCATTTCTTTCCTCAGCCGGTCTCTCAAAATACAAATGTTCTGCTGAAGGCCTATAACTCAGGACGTGCGCACACGCTCGCATTGTGGGGAGGGATTTTAATTAAGGCCGTCTGAGTGTAAAGCATGCTGTATTGATTTATGATGTGTAATTAACCTCCCGGAGGCCGAAATCTCAGACTCCCTCTGCTCTGAGCCTCATACGCAGGGGGTCACGGGCGAGGCAGGGAGATGATAGAAGTTGAGAGGTCGGAGTCACTGAGCACTCATCTTTAATGAGCCACATGCAGATGGGAGGTGACAGCAGATTAGATGAGGATTTTAAAAACCCTTATTATGAATCTCTGATTATAGGCTGAGAGTGACAGAGAGAGACCTTAAGTGACAGCTCGCTTTCCACCGAAATGGTTTTGAAAAGATCTGATCTGAATAAAAGGAAAGCTTTGTGGATACCAGGAGATGCATTGTTGGAATCGTATACGATGAATGGTAATAGCTTCAGATATAGATGTTCTCTCTATAAAAAGCCGATGCTGATCCACTGCAGCCAGCACGCTGCACCGATGATGAACGTCTACTTTTATATCTCTGACTCATGGCAGATTCTGGAGGGTTGGTTAAAAATACATTCCCTAGAGGAACATTATGAACCTAACCTGCAGCTCTTGACCTCTGGTTTGTGACTTAAGTGTACCATCATCAACAGTAAGTAATTAGGACATTTGTTCAGGTTCACTTTTTTCCACCTGCAACATAATTTATGCCATGATATTATTACATTAATCATTCATTTGCCAGCTCCCTGATTGCTTGCTCCACAATGGGTTCTTGTAGCTGTCAGAATTTACAGACTCGATCCTTCTTGCAATGTACCTAACACTTATTTAGGCCGTACACTCCAGTTTACCCAATGTGATCGACTCTAGATGGTTGATTAGTTTAGGTGGTATCTGCATTCTAAGAGCTTACTAGTGGACCGATTTACCAATCCAACATAAAAATACAATATCTTTACCCTAGTTTCATAAGGACTTTTTCATAAGGTAAATATCACTACAGCACAGTATAATCTTAGATTTAATTCATCCTGATCGCCCTGTCTTTATAATACAATATAAAGGTAATTTTATATTTCTATATAAAATTTCTATTTTATATTTCTGCACTTCCTATTTACTGCTAAATTTATTAAGAATATACACGACCATTCAAAAATTTGGGGTCAGTAAGATTTCTTTATACATATATATATATATATATATATATATATATATATATATTCTTCTTTGAATAAAAAGAACAACAATTTAATGAAAATAGAAATCTTTTTTTAACATTACAAATGTCTTTACTGTAATTTTTGACCGATTTAATGCCCTCTTTGTTGAATAAAGGCCCGTTCACCCCAAGGATGATAACTATAAAGATAACGATAAAGATATAGTTCTAAAAATCATTCTCAATTTGAAAGAATAGCAGAGTCTTAACCACAGCTATAACGATAAAGAATAAACAGATGATATCATCCGCTGTTGTGGCCAATATCTTTATCTTTATAGTTATCTTTAGAGTTATCATTCTTGGTGTGAACGGGGCTTAAAAGTAATCTCTTTAAAAAAAAAAGTCTTAATGACCCTAAACATTTAATGTAATGATATATTAATATATTATCATGTCTATGATAATAGAATATTTATTTATATTAATTAATAATCAATAATATTCATACATTTAGATACAAATATGAAGGTTTAATTAAAAAGGTAAATCTAACATTTACATTTAACATAAAATTACAATATAATATAATATAGTATAGTATAGTATATAGTATAATATAATATAATGTAATGTAATAACTCCAAAATCCCACTCTTCAAAGGCATTTCAGCAAACAAAATATACCAAAACACTTATTGCATAGACTTAAAACAGCATAGGATGTTTTTAAAGTGCACTTTATATCGTTCACAGGCCTAGAGCTGTCACAGAGAGGTGTGTGATTTCATAAGAGACTTATTTCAGTGACTAAAGGAATATTTTATGTGGCAAATTGGTTACAGCACCATTACAAGTCACAAATCCAAATATAACATACCTGTGCCATATTCCACTGTCCTTGTTGACCTGGCTGCATGGCATACATGTTTTGAGGGGGCACCATGCCCTGAGGTCCCATCATGCCTGGGGCCAAGCCCATCACTCCTGGCTGTGCGTTTCCCATGAAACCGTTAGGCATAGTCATGCCAACCATCATGCCTGTATTCTGGCCCATCATAGCACCACCCTGTCCCATGACGGCCCCCATCATGGTAGTGGGGGGCATGGCTCCTCCCATCCCGGGGAAGGCCTGGAAGTTCCCCTGTGGCTGCGCAGGGAACTGCATCTGAGACGGGCCCATGAACATCGCAGTCGCTGTGGGAGCAGAATCACACAAAGAAACACAAATAAGATGATTTACACATGACGACATGTTCAATATGTTCAAAGAGACAAAAACAGAAGCAGACCAGAGGACACTGACACACAAAACATCACAGACGGCAGAGAGCAATCAATATCTGCGCTAATGTGTGCAGTTCCTCGCCTCGAGCCCAGAGGAAATGGATCTTTGAGACAGAAGAGGTGTGCAGGATGAAAGGGGGCATCTAACACGTCCTGATGGTGAAGAATTGGCAGTGCCTTCATTTGGAGCATCTGAGGTTTTGGGAAATGTCCTCTTTGAAGAGTAGGGCAGGCGAAGCAGGCAGCTTTAAACCACGTTCAGCAGTATCAGAGTGCTGAGACACGCAGTGCTTGAATTATTGATACCCCCATTAAAGCAGGTCTTCTCAAGAACCTCGCTTGCTTTTTCTTTCACTCAAACACACACACACACACACACACACACACACACACACACACACACACACACACACACACACACACACA